CTTGACCATGGTAAGAGGCTGTCAGAGTGAGATCGCAAATTTAAGACCCTTAAAAAATTTACTGGTACTACACTTTATATGGCTCAATATTTCAGGTGAAACTATTCTTTGTTGCTAGCAGTGACACCACAAGCATGGTGGCAGCAAACACAGCCATAAAAAAGTCAGAAATGTAGAAAATGCAACAATAAAACTGAAGATTTAGAAAACATTTTCTGATACTCTGTACTGTGTTGTAGCTTTGCAACACTATTAATCCATGTATTGCTTATATTCTGGTTTCAATTTTTCAGTCATAATTTCCACTGATTTAATATGTAATGTTGTTCATAAGAATTAAAATTATGCTTCTAAAATTTTCAAAGCTGCACAAAATAGTAGTTTTCAGAATGGAATTTCTAGTGAAGGAAAAGAGCATTACTTTTACCAATCACAGATAAAACCATGACCTCTGGTACATCTGTCCCCAGTTGATGAAGTCATTCCATAAATAAATTTAAGTCTGTAATGTGATGACTCACACCGCAGAGATATTTGCTAATTATTGTGACGCTTGATAAAATTTGGTTTCTGGGTAGTTGTTACAAAGTGAAGTTTTGAAATTTTCCCAAAAACTTCACATTTAAAAAAACGAATTAATCCAGGTAAGACATTCTTTTTAAAGCAAACTACAATTACTGCCCAATTATTACAAATTAATTGCAGTCACAAAAAGAAGAGATATACACACACAACACACGCGTGCGTGTGCGCGCGCGTATGCGTCCATGTAGCCATGCTCCTCAACTCAAGATTTCAAAACAACATCCACAATGCTAGAAAGAACAATTTGCATGCAAGAGAACATAACGTTCCTTTTTCTGGTAAAATACAATCTGCTGCATATGCTGTCAAATTTCTTCCTGATATTACTAAGAGCTAAAACAAGACTCCAGCAATTATACACCTTTCAATTACAGATTCAAGTTTTGCTTTACCCATAAACCAGTGAAATTCTGTAATACTATTAGTCAATTTATCAGCATCATCTCACATAACTGCTGTAAATTTCAACTCAGATTAAAAGAAAGACATAAGTCAATATTAAGAGTTCCTCATCCCAGTCTGTGGTAATCAGATCTTGCCTCAAGAAAGGGGAAGAGAAACTCTTAATCTGTTATGACACATCATGTAATTAGCATAGAATCAGAGCGACATATTTGCTTGGTCTATCAGGGACAAAAAGGAGAGAAAGAAAAAAAGAGCTATTAGAATTCAAGACTGACAAATAATAAGTAGTCATTAGTCTTCAAAGATATGTGAACTGTTCTGCAGCTCTATCAACAGTGTTTGCTACTTTTGACAGAGCACGTTAACGGTTTAGCAGCAGAGGTACCGTCAACATTCATTCAATTTTTTTCAATGGTCGATAATAAACCAAATTTGAGTATTGATGAGCAACAATATAATTGTAGAACCTTATAGTCTTGCATACATTGGGACAATTTGCAAGAATACAATTTGCAAGTAAAGGGAAAATATTTGTACTGCAGAAGTGGAATGCTGACGAGTTGGCAAGTAGACTCTGATTGGTAGAGGCAGTGCTGTGAAGAATGCACCCATTAATGCTGATTGATAGCTAACAGCCAGGCTTTGTTGGCATTATAAACCAGGTAAGTTGACTACTTTGTTGTCGAGGCATTATTATAAATGATGAATCAGAGAATGTTTCAGCTCAATAAAATAGATGATGGTCAGAGCATCTGTACATGTTCTTTGAAAATCTGGGGAGGTGACGGCCTAGTGGCACTATCACTGTACACTTAATACAGAACCAGGTAATGGTTTGGGGATCTGGGTTCAATTCTTGCCATGATAGATAGTGGAAGCTGAATTCAATTTTAAAAAAGGGGTGGAATGGTGGCTCAGTGGTTAGCACTACTGCCTCAGTGCCAGGGACCAGGGTTCCATTCCACCCTCAGGTGACTGTCTGTGTGGAGGCTGCACGTTCTCACCGTGTCTATATGGGTTTCCGCCAAGGGCTCTGGTTTCCTCCCACAATCCAAAGATGTGCAGGTTAGGCAGAATAGCCAGATTAGCCATGCTAAATTTCCCATAGCATTCAGGGATGTGCAGGCTCGGTGGATTAGCCATGGGAAATGCAGGGTTACAAGGTAGGAAGATGGGATGCTCTTCAGGGGGCAGGGCGAGGTCGGTGTGGACTCAATGGGCTGAATGGTCTGCTTCCACACCATAGGGATTGTATACAAAAAAAGTTATTTTTCAGAGCACTGCCTTGAACAATCAGGGTCTAATTCAAAATTTAAACAAAGCTTGAAGAGAAGTTTCAAGTAAAACATCTTTTCTATTATGACAGATCCCATTTAGGTTTCCTTATTTGTAGATATTCAGCTAATTTGAAAAGTACTTCACAAGTCAATAAAATATGTAAAACAATTTAAAACCTGCAAAAGAAAAAAAAGTGGATAAAGCACAGGAACTTGCTAACAGCTTAACAGAGGGTCCAAAATGAAGCAAGAGGCCAAATATAGCAATAGAATATTAAAATTGGCTCATATCTTAAACATAGAATTTAGGAATACATCATAGATATAATTTGAGCAATCAGCAAGTAATTACTTGATAATTATTTACCAGAAAGAACTGCAGGAAGTAGTTCTGACTATCTAACCATCTGAGGTGCAAGAAAGTCCATTTGTTGAAAGGAAAAATAACAATGAAAATATAAATTTGCTGTGTTAAATAATCCAGAACATGGCTACAGTCATTTATAGATGGAGAATCAAAATAAACTGAGAAAGAAGATTTTGATGACTGGATTAATCAAAACACCAAAGTAACCAGAAGTGCTTCCCAAATGTTAAGGGTTGAGAAAATGTGAATATGATCATTTTCTAGATAGACTAACCAACAACATAAAATTTGATAGCAAGTGAAGTCAAAAACAAGCTTAATCTATTTTGGCCTCTTCCCAACACAGAGTTTGGCTTGCTTCTATATACTCTGCATATGGAAACGGTACTAGCACAGCTCAAAAAGATTTGCAATAAAAAGGTAATTGCAATACTTCTGTACAACTTAGCAGTGTTCAATTAGTCAGTGCTGTCACACTTACATTTAAATTAGAACTAGAATTTGTTTCCAGCAGGCTACTTGATAACTTCTATTTCTGGAGCTCCATAACAAAGATTATGATGAAGTGTCTTAAGGTGCATGTATAATTTCAGAGAACAAAAATGCAAGACAATTACACCGGTGAAACTAAGTTGAACTGCTCACCAAACCATGTTAACAGCAGTCCACTGATACATGATCTGGTGCTGAAGTCCTTAAAATTGATTAAAGGAAATTATGTTGACGATTACTTATCTGACTCCCAAAAGTAATCTAAAAACATCACATTATAACCACTTACATTTATATAATACAATCAACATAGTACATATCCCAAAGCAGCTCACATTGGAAAAAGTAGACCCAAAGCAGTTTCGGAAGAAAGGATCGAAAACGGTCAAAAACGTTTGGCCATACTCAATGCTTTAAGAAAAAATAGGAACTGGAGGAACTTAGGGAGAATATTTCTAAAGCAGCTGAAAGTTCAGTCATAATATCCTGATTCCCAAACATGCTTCACTCATCAATACAGGCGTGAAAACTTTTAAACAAGTTCAGTGAAATGCCAGATAGAAAGCAGACAGTCTTGACATTGGTACAAATAAGTTTGGAAGCTCATCCTGGGATCAAATGTTACACCAAGGTTGTAGCCATATATTTATTCCGAGATCATCTAGTCAGTCATGAGAGAGATGGATGGAATTGGTAACTAGGAAACAGAGTTTTGAGCAAGGACCAAACACACAATAGTTTTAACCTTGATATTTAATTGGAGGAAATGTTTGCTCAATTAAGAAGTGGTGGCAAGACCAAACTGGGCATCATCAGCAAACATATAGAAACTAATGCAGTGCCTTTGGAAGATGTTGCTGGGGCACATCATGTTGATGAAATAACCTCGACAGATCCTTCGGAGAAATCAGAGGGAATGGTATGGGAATGGTGGAGAAGCCTTAAGACCCTAAAATGTGGGAGCAGAAGCAGGCCATTCAGCCCATCAAGCCCGTTCCACCATTCACCGAGATCATAGCTGATCTGATAATCCTCAATTCCACTTTCCTGCTTTTTTTCTATAATCCTCAAATCCCTTAACGATAAATAATGATAAATAATAACACTTGAACATACTCAACAGCCCTCTGCAGCAAAGAACTTCACACAGTCAGAGAAGAAATTCCTTCTCATCTCTTTATTCCAAGATTACGCTCTTTGGTCCTAGATTCTCCCACAACGGGAAATAACCATTCCACATGTGCCCTGTCAAGTCCCCCAAGAGTCTATTTCAATAAGATCACCTCTTATTCTTCTAATTTGCAATCAGTACAGGTCCAATCTACTCAAACTCTCCTCATAAGGCAGCTCCTCCACACCTGGAATCAGCCAAGCGAACCTTCTCTGGACTGTCTCCAATGCCAGTCCATTTTTCACTGCAATTAGATGATTGAGAATGTGCCCAAGTAAGAGTAATCTCACCTTGTGGGTTGACAGTGGGGGAATGCTGGAATAGGAAGGTGTTGTCAACAGTTACATTTATGTAGAGAAGGACTTGTCACACACATGATCCACAAAATTGGCCATTTCATTTTCAATGGGCAGATACTCAACACTAAAGTAGTTCCAATACATGGCCAGATGCCACCAAAGATAATCACACAACTAACTTCAAATGGATTTGAAATACCACTTTACATTCCCCAAGTAATCAAGATCTGTCTTCAGTGTAAATGTGATAACATTTAGGACAAGGAAATATCACCAATTACCCAGCTAATTATGTACCTAGCATTTCCAGTTACTTCCATTGTGTACTATGATTCATATTTGGTATTATTTGCTTTACTCGTCTATTTGGACAGCAAGTTGCTAAATTAGTTGGTTAAACCTACCATTCCACTGTTCTTTTGATCTTCTTGTCTGGGGATAAGCTGCATCACTCGCCTTTCTTGATACAAAAGATTCGAAACGGTTTTGGCATCGGAGTCAGTTATTCTGGTAAATCTTCCATCTTGACAACCAGAGATACCAATTGGTTGCAGAGTGACTTCCACCATCACTGGAGCATGTAATTTGCTTGCAAAAGCACACGTGTTTTCACTTTAGTCCCAGGACCCTGTAGCACTAGAAAAATGAATTAATTTTCGTTAGTGTGTTATTATCATTACAGTTTGATGCACAAAGTTACTGAGACATGGCTATAGAAAATTAGAACTGAGAATTAATATTGTAGGATATAACATTTTGAAAAGATAGAAATGAAAAAAAAAGTGAAGTAGCTGTATTTATTAGAGATAGCATAAAGATAAAAGAATGCCTCTATCAGCACAGAATCCATATGGATAGATTAAAAAAAGACGCAGTGTACAGATCACCTAATATTATTTGTGGAAGGGTGGTAAAGAAGAAATATGGAAGCAGATTAGAGAATGGAGTAAACAACATAGAATTAGGGTCTCGACCCGAAACGTCTGATTCATCAGCTCCTCTGATGCTGCTTGGCCTGCTGTGTTCATCCAGCTCTACACCGTGTTATCTCAGATTCTCCAGCATCGGCAGTTCCTACTATCTCTATAATTATCATGGTGGATTTGAACTGCCTTCATATTCATGAGACAAAAAGTGTAGGTAAAGGATTGGAGAGCTGATTGTCCACAAGGTGAGGAATCCTTTCTAACTCAGAATATCTTTTATTAAAAAAACGTCAATGATGTAGACTCACTGTTGGATCCAGTAATGGGTAATGATCCCAAGTCAAATACGAGAAATTAAGTTACAGAAGACATCAAGGCAATAACGACAGTAGTATAATGGAGGACATAAATATGATAGATAATCAGGCTAATTAAGAGAAGCTGAGTTGGAGAATAAAATAAAATGGATAACTACTGTGGAATGTGTTTAATAGGAAAGAACACAGGAGTAGGCTATTCAGCCATGCCATTCTGGCTGATCATCCACTTCAATGCCTCTTTCCAAACTAATCCCTTATATAAATAGCCTTATGTGCCATTGGTATCTATAAATGTCAGTTTCTACTTCAAACTTATTTAATGCTTCCCCAGCCATCTGGGATAAAGAATTTCCATGACTTAGATAGTAAAATAATCTCTCCTCAACTCTGTCCCAAGGAACTTCCTCTTATTTTAAAATTGGCTCTCCGAGTTCAAGACTCCCCACTAAGAGGAAACATATTACTTGTATCTATCATGCTCATCCCAATAAGTATTTTTTAAGTTTTAATGAGATGACCTGTGGTTCTTTGATACTGTAGAAAATACAGGCTACGTTTCCCCAATCTCTCTTCACTGGTTCGGAAGAAGGGTCACTTAAACTGAAACGTTAACTCCTATTTCTCTCCACTGTTGCTGCCAGACCTGCTGAGCTTTTCCAGCAATTTCTGGTTTTCTCACTTCACCAGACTGTCCAGCCATCCAGGTAATGGGTTTGGAGGGTTTTGTTTCACTCCTTCTGTGGCAATCATGCTCTATACACAGCACTCCAATCCAGTCTAATCAAGGTTTGAAACAACTGAAGACTTGGCTACTCCAATGCCTAAAACCTCTTGAAATAAAGGCCAATAATAATGTAGGCTTTCCTAACTGTCTGCATGTTAGCCTTCAGTGACTTGTTAACGAAGATACCCAGGTCCATTTGCACGTCTACCCTTTCTAATTTATTATCGTTTAAGAAATATTGTGCATCTGTTCATTTCTACATTATATTCCAACATCCAAATTCCTGCCCACAAAACACTGGCGAGACTGTAAGATGAAACATCATAAAAAAAAAGTGCAGGGATTAGGATAAAGTAGAGGGAGAGCAGAGGAGCGTATGATAAAACAGAATATGAAGAGATTAGGAAAATTTTCAAAAACAATTAGGAAAACAGGATAAAATGGACCAGTCAATTTAATATTGTGGTAGAAAAAAAATAGCGGAATCCCTCCTAAAGAGGGAGAATATAAGAACATCCAGAAATGAGAACTATTAGAATGAATAGTCAAAGGGTTTCAAAAGTGTAGAACTTGCCTGACCAACCTCATTGAACTTTTTTGAGAAAGTAACAGAGAGTAGAACATGGTAACATGGAATATATACGTCATCTGGATTCTCAAAAGGCTGCTTTTACAAGGTGCTCCACAGTAAACTAAAGAAGATAGAATCAGGGGACAAGTGGCAAAATAGATTGCGAGAAGTTTCAAGATACAAGGGAGAGAGTGAGAAAAGAGTAATCATTCAGAACAGCAAAAAAACACGTTCCTCAACAGTGTTGGGACCATGGCTGCTCACAATTTATATTAATGATTTGGAATTTGGAATTAAACGAACATTTTCAAATTTGCAGATGATACAACTATTTGGGGGAGGAGTGAAGAAAATAGTCAAAACAAAGGAAAATGGCAGCAAATTAAACATGCTCATTAATAAAGTTGCAGAACAGGAAAATAACTGGCAAATGCAGCCCAACACAGACAAATGTAAGATTATACATTTTGGTAGGCAGAAAAAGAGGATCACCACAAATGAGCATAGGACAAATGGGCTGATGGACTGCGCTACCTCTATCCCTCCATTCAACTAAAAGACTTCGGGATCAGTAATGCACCATTCTGTGTCAAGGGCTGCACATTTCCTTTCTTTGTGGTAATTAGTTAATTAGACACTAAACCGTTGCTTCTCAATAAATTGAGAAATTGTAATAAATTGCCAACTGCCTCTATTAGGTAACTGAGATTACGAACTCCCTAAAATCAGCTGTGTATACCTATCAGAAAAGGATTGCAGTCTGGGTTTCTTTTCTGTTTCTAAAAATAAGGCTAACGGGGACCTAATAGAGGTATTTACATTATGAAAGATTTTGATAGAGAAAGCATATGATCAGAATATTTCCTCTGGTGGAGAGGAGACTATTGATAGGTCATCAATACAAGATAGTTACTAAAGAGTCTAACTGGGAATTCAGAAGAAACTTCTTTACTGCAACAATGGTAAGAATGTGGAATATACTACCATAGAGTTCTTGAAGCAAATAAATGCATTTAAGGTAAAGTTAAATACTACATGAGGAAGAAAGAAAGGACTACTACAATAGATTTAGAGGAGGAAAGATGGGAAGAGACTCATCTAGGGCACAAGTAACAGCATGTACTGGGTGGGCCAAATGGTCTGCTCCTGTACCCATATCTTATATTATCCAGTATAGACTTGTGGTATTATACTTTGACATTCCAATATTCTGTTCGCAAAGATTTCATAAGGGAAGACCCTGGTGTTATTATATTTTTGAGGGGCATCAGAGGTAATGGTAATGCAGAAGATGTAATTTATCTGGATTTTCAAAAGGGCTTTGTTAAAGTGTCCCATAATATAGAGTCATAGAGATAAGAAGCAGAGTGGAGTGAAGTACAATTATTCAGAGTGGAGAAGGTGCAGTTGGTTGCATGGGGTTGGAGAAGATACGGAACATACGAAAAAATATGGCGCATAGGCTTGTTAAAATTAAAGATCATTATTTTCAGATAAAGAATCAACACAATGAAAATATTACATGGAAGTCTGAAAGTTCAATTTATACCAAATCATTGCTGCAATAGTGGATGACAAATTCAAAATAAAATCAACTGGCAGAGAATCCCCATCAAAACATTTGTATCAGACTTTAATTACCTCAATTAACAGAAATATGAGCTATTGATTTGTTGCAGAGACAGAGTTTAAACATGGTAGAAGAAAGTTTTAACTTTAGAATATGACAAAATAGCAGTATTTCAAATATTAACACTCCCTCAAGGCTAGATTTATGCAGCAAACTAAAAAAAGGTTCAACTTTGCAGCATGTTCAATAGGGCCAAAAATGCTATAAGGACAAACTTCTCACACTAGCACCCACAAAATCTTCAAATAAACTATGATTGCAATGTCTTATTTTGGCTTCTAACAGTACCAAACTCTTCGTATGTTAGCAGTTGATAGTCAGATTTTAATAGATTGCCTTGGAAAATAGAGATAGAATTTAAATAGAAAAGTTAGACTAGTTTGGGTAAATAACTTTTCAAAATATTTTATAGGAAAAACTTGAATACTTGCATATTATTGTGATGAATCTCAAAGAATCTCCAATGAATTACTCTGAAACTAAGAGACATATAGCTGAATTGGCACAAACACTCAAATCATGAGAAACAAATCACTCAGAGAGACTGATGAGTTGAAGAACATCATGCACTAATTCAATTAATAGAATAGAAACTTTGCATCTACTAAAACAGAAAAGTAGCATCTCTCACTTATACAAATGATACATCCTAAAATTTAACATTCTCCCAGTACTTCAGTGGTAAGCAAGTCTGCATTAAATGTTCTTAAAACATGCAACACTTGTCCTTAGAATGCTTGATAATACTAGGGTGTGTAAAATGTTGAAAAATTTAGAACATAGGAAAATGCACTGCTTACTTCCCCACTTCCACAATTTCAAAATAAAATGTCATAGCATTACACAGCAGCATAAACACAAACGTTTCAAAATTATATTTCTTAAGACATTTGCTATATTTAAATCAATATCAACTGATACATATTGTAACTTTGATTATGGGGTTTTGTCCAGTCTAGTAAACCTCTTCTGAACAGCCTCCAGTATATGTACATCCCTCCTTGAATACAAGGAGGCCATCCATTCTCCATTGTAAAGTCAGGAGTGAGAACGCTTGCTGATGATAGTTCAACATTCGGCACCATTTGTGACTCCTCATACACTGAAGCAGTTCATGCCCAAATACAACAGGACCTGGACAATATCCAAACAAACATTCACGCCACACAAGTGCCTGGCAACAACCATTTCTAACAAGGTACAAATGAAACCCTGCCACTTGACAGTCAATGGCATTATCACCTTCAAATTCCCACTATCAACGTCCTGGTTGGGTGGGTGTCAACGAGCAGAAGCTGAACTACACTAGCCACTTAAATACTGTGTTTATAACAGTAGGTCAGAGGCTAAGAATCCTGCATTGAGTAACTCACCACTCGCATCCACTCCCTCCACCACCGATGCTCAGTAGCATCAGTGTGTACCATCTACAGGATGCACTGCAGAAGTTCAAAGATCCTGAGGCAGGACCTTCCAAACCCACAACCACTTCCATCAAGAAGTAGAAGGCCAGCACATACATGGAAACACCATCACCTCCAAGTTCCCCTCCAAGTCACTCACCATCCTGACTTGGAAACATAGCGCCATTCCTTCACTGTCACTGGATCAAAATTCTGGAATTCCCTCCCTAATAGCACTGTGGGTCAACCCACAGCAGGTGGACTGCAGCGATTCAAGAAGGCAGCTCACCACTATCTTCTCAAGGGTAACCAGGGACAGGCAATGAATGCTGGCCACTCAATGACACCCATATCCTACAAAAATGAATAAATAAAAAAGCACTCCCTAAAGCCTGTCCACTATCAACAAGACACAAGTCAGTAGTGTGATGGAATACTTCCCACTTGCCTAGAGAGGTACAGCTCCAACTACAAAAGAAACTTTACAATCCTGGACAAAGCAGCTCGCTTAATTACCACATTTCAGGCATGCACTCCCTCCACCACTGACATTCCGTAGCAGCAGTGTATACCATCTACAACATGCACTGCAGGAATTCACCAGGAGATCCTTTGACAGCACCTTCCAAACCCACAACCACTACCATCTAGAAGGAATGGTAGCAGGCAAATGGGAACTTTAGCACCTACAAGTTCCTCTCCCAGCCACTCACCATCCTGATTAGAAATATGTTGCTCTACTGTCATTGAGTACGAGTCCTGGAACTCCTTCCCTAACAGCACTTTGGATGTACTTACACTAAATGGACTGCAGCAATTTAAGAAAGTTCACCTTAAGGATAACTAGGTCTATGTAATAAATGCTAACCCAGCCAATAAAGCCTGCATGCTCTGAATGAATACAAAATAAGTACACAGACTATTCAAGATGTGGTCTCTTTTGTATTGCTCAAGTATTACATCCTTACTTCGTTGTTCAGTACAACTCAATAAAGAACAGTATCCCAGTAAATAAAAGCAAAATACTGCAGATGCTAGAAGCCTGAAATAATCCAAGTGCTGGAGAAACTTGGCAGGTCTGGCAGCCTCTATGGACAGAAAAGCAGAGTTAATGTTTTGAATCAGAACAGTTGGTAAATTGTGGGTTTTTTAATTCTGATAATAGAGAGTGAGGCAAAGCAAGTGGCTCTGATGGTGAGGGTGCCTGGAGCAAAAACAAGGTAGTGCTAATGGTGATAATGGAATGATAGAGATGTGAGATTAGTGTAAATGATAGGTGTGAAAAAGACAAGACACAAACATACAGCTTGGGGGAGGGTGCGGTGTAATAAAAATGGAGGAGAGAGGTAATATTTTGAAGCTGTTTCAAAAATTGTTCCTCCAGCTTGCATTGAGCTTCAGTGGAACACTGCAGTAGGCTAGGACAGAAGTGCTAGCACGGGAGCAATAGCATGGATTGAAATGGCAAGCAACTGGAAGGTCAGGATCATTCTTACAGATATTACAGTCACCTTAATAATTTGTTGTAGCTGCATTGAAACATTTTGGTGATTCACATTAGAACACTAAGATCTCTTTGCACTTGACATAAATCTGGTCAATAACAAAAGATATTCTTTTTGTTAGTCGGGCACAGAGAGTTGCAAAGGGATCTAGACATATAGATATACAACATCAATATCAATAATTAGTAACATACATATTGTTTATTCCCAAAAAGAAAATTCATTTATATTTCACCTTATGATCTTATGTCCCAAGACCATTTACAGCCAATTTTTGAAGTGTAGTTGCTGTTGTAATGTAGGAAACCAGGCAACTCATGCAACCAGCCAAATGACGATGGCCAGCTCATCCATTTTTTTGATGTTGGTTGAATGATTAATATTGGCCAAAACGTAGGGAATAAAGCCAATCCTCTGGTTTGAAATTGCCATAGGATAATTTACATATATCCGAGGTGGTGGTGGATGAACTTTCTCATTTGAAAGGATTTGATTATGCAACATTTCCTCAATACTGCATTGTCATGTTTTATTTTTGCGCTCAAGTCAGAGGCTATAATAGTACACAAAACGAGAAATGTGGATCAGTAAAGAGGAAAAGACCGATATAAAACTGCAAACAAAACATGAATGCAATGTTTTATGCAATGTGCCACTGGTATTTTACATGGATACCACTGTCAAAAACCTATTAGCTACTGCTCAACTGTTCTCAACATATACTTGGGGCTGTTTTCTGTCTCTCTCAGTACACAATAATGAATTGGTAGACAAGCAGGTGCACCATACTGTAGAAATGCTTCTACTACAGTGATCTTGCAACATCAGTGGAGCATGAAATGACAATGCATGGCCATGTATTAAACTGGTGATTTAACTGAAGCTGATGCAAGCTTAAACAAAAACATATGCAATGCAAAATTTGAAAACTTATTGTAGGACTGAGATAAACAGTTTTTAAAAGAAAATTTACAGGGCTTCGGACAAAGCAAATACCAATAAATGTAAACAAGAGGGGATTAGTTAGGGTGAGAGTAGATGTGAAAGACAATTGGCAGTCCATGTAGAAGAAAGCAAGTGCACATAACAAGTAAAGGAAGATTAAAAAGTCGTATTTGAAAGTGAGAGAATGGCACAAAAATATTTCACCTTGTATTAGAGAGGGAATAGAGTGCAACTGTAGACCATGCTTCCACAGTAGGATTGAAAAGCTTAAAAAAAAAAAAAATAATCACCAAACATCATACAAAGGTCCCCAAAGTGCTTGGATGTCGGAGGTTGGGGGGGGGGGGCGGGGTGGAAATAGCTGGAAATGAAAATCATACACATAGTGGGGTTCAGGGAAAGTACATGTTATAGTCCTGTCGAAGAGAGAGGGAAAAATAATTATTGCGTGTTAGATGGCCTTAGTTTATTGGCAAACTTAAATTTCTTATCAACGATGTGCTGTCAATTACCAAACAATGTTGGCTGTGCCAAATCATCCTGTGCCTTCAAAACAGTCCATGTGACAAAATTAATGAGCATTTAGAAAGGTGTGGTAAATCACGAAGGGGAAGTCATTGTACAGATTTCAAGGTCAGACTGCACTCAAGTAATTTCATCCACATTTTTCCTTAAACATGCCAACATTTTCCTTGATCCCCACCACAAATTCCATTCTTAAGTCCCTAGTTCCAGTCTTTGGGAGGTGAATGTCACTATCCTCCATGTTGCTTAACGTAGTTCTAAGTTTTGTGACATCTGGAAAATGTGATGGTAATATCATGGTTGGAATAACCCATGTATTTTGTAGACTCCATTATAGAAAGGAAAGGTGTGATGTTCAACTTGGTTTTCCTACGTTTAGGCTGTATTAGTACTAGCGTATTGTTTAGTTACATCACTTACGAGTACTTTATCAGTCTTTCACTTGACTATTTAAATTGCATTGGGCTGCCAGTGAAACTCAGTTTTAGATACCCAGTGACATCATAATGAGGTTATGAAATCATATAGGACAGAGCGAGGACATGGAGATGGGAAACCAAACATAGGAAAGTATTGAAGTACATTAAAAGGTGAATATTATTTCACGGAATTATTTAAAATCCTACATTTGAAAAGGATATACACACAAGTAAGCAGGAATGTGAGAAATCATCCACTTTGGACCCAAGAAAGATAAATCAAATATTTTTTGAAAGGCAAGAAGCTAGGAACAGTGTAGAAGTGAAGCAATGTGGATGACCAAATTAGCAAAGAAAATAAATCAAGAAAGCTAATGGAATATTGAGCTTAATCTCAATGTGGCAGGAATAAAAGAGGAAGAAGTTATGTTTCAGTTATACAAAGTCTTTGTTTTACCTATCAAAAGTGTTGAATTCCATTTTGGGCATCAAATCTCTGCAAGGACATACTGACCTCAGATTGGGTGCAGCACAAATTTAACAAAGATAACAATTCAAAATGTTAAATTATGAGGACATGTTAAATAAACTTGGCATGCATTTCAGCACAGAAGATTGAAGGTTGATCTGATCAAGAGCTTAAAAACGTTAGTGATTTGCTATCATAGATTCATAAATGCATATTTCCTATGGTGGAAGATTGAAAAACAAAAAAGGTTCATCATCAAATTAGAGCTTGGTTATTCAGGAGCAAAATCAGAAACCACTTTTTCCACATGAATGGTTCCTGCAACACTCTCTTCCAAAATATGGATGCTGGGACAATTAGAAGTTTCAAGACAGAATTTTTTAAAAATAAGGGATAACATAGGATATAAATGAAAGGCAGATAAATGGAGTTGAGGTGTTTAGATCAGCCACAATTTAATTCAACAGTGGAAGAGGCTAGAGGTCAGAGGTCTGAATGGCTTAATCCTGATCCAAATGTTTGTGTTTGGATGCCAATTAGTATTCTAACCAATTTACCACATTAAATATTTAATTATAGCAGAAGCAGGGATCTGGTAGCCAGCAGTTTCACATACTTACACCGTTAAGTAGTTGTAACCAACAACCTGAGAATATTTGGTGCAGCATACAAGCAGAGCAAGAGTAACAATAGGAAGTTCCATGCAAAAACAAACTCTGCTCATCCCCAAGAATGATTTTAACATAATTAAAAGTTTTGAAAGCAAATTTTAAAGGTTGCAGAGTATTTCAGCTGATGGAAGTTTCTCTTTCCATTTATACATCTCTTACCTCAATATTTTCTGCTCCTGGCTGAAAAGGGATGACTCATTCCAGTTTCACAATAGCTCACTGGTAACTTACCAAGTAGCTATTCATCATATGACACCAGGTAACAAGTAGATGCAAGTTAGTTGCCTACGACAGGAGTGTGGTGGAGGAATTCACAGCAAAGCCAAATATTATATCCACAAATATTCTATACATGTATTTTCTACATCAAAAGGTCATGAACTATCCAGAAACCAGAGGTTTTTTTAAAAAATTGCCCCAAATATGCATAATGCTAACAAGGCAGCTCATTGTCTATCTCTTACTACCCCCAGAGACATTAAAAGTTATTTGCTTGGTATGGAAAAGTCGCATTTAAGACAGATTGGCAAGGGACAGAGGATTTCTGTCCCTTAAGATAACTTCCTTTTCCGGGGTGTGAGTATACAGCTACTAGATGTACTGATTTTAAATCTTTCCCTCCTTGTTTTGGAGACAAAAAGGGAAACTGTACTCCTCTCAGGTAGAAACCCAGAACTTTCCTGAATTGTATGGTTAAGAACCACAATATAAACACCTTTAAAAGGGTGTGTTTGGAAATCAAATATAATTTGGTGTATCACACAGTAAATGCACTTCAGTACAAAAACGAGAAGTGTGACCAAAAGAGCGAAATTACATCAGCTCAGCCTGTAAACTGAATCTTGACAGCACATTACAATTGAACATATATAACTTTTGTTCAAGAAGTATTGTTTACCTTTTCAAAGCCTTCTTTCTGCACTATTACCAAAGTTCTTAGTTTTCCATTACCACTGTCATTATAACTGCTGAACTTTATATTGTTTTCTGTTCCTGTTCTACATCTTGTAACATTATTATTCCAGGCCAAGGATATGAAAGGGTCAGTTGATAAAATATATTCCCTTTTAGAGATGCAGAATACCCTTCTCTCTTTAAAGGGGTTTAGTCATATTGTAACTGCGCCTAGGTAGTTTGCTTGAAGGACAAAAGCGCAGCCTGCTCATCCATTATTTGCTAATGCAGTCAGTCCCTCAGTTGGCAGTAGTCTCACTGTGACATCAGAAGTCAGAAATGGTCAGTCATTAGGCACCTGCGCTTTCCTTTGAATGAAATTATTGGTATTCCAGTGACTGTGTAGGCAACGGTCAAAACTGATCTAATATCGCTAACTATAGTTTAAATCAAAACACTACTCCTGATTAACAGCATAACATACAATACAAATTAGGTTTTCTGAAAGCATTTGTTATTTTCAATAGATGCCTTGGTGATGTTAATGCATAAATTTGAGTACCTACCTGCAAGACAAATAGTTCCTGAGCCAACTGATAACAAGGTATAATGGCTGTCTGTCAAGCTGAAGAATCAAATCCTTGGTGGTCATTCCAACTGCAAGACTGAACCAAGACCTGCAAAGGATGATGGTGCAAATAAAATTGGTACTAGTAATTACTTTTTGAAATTGTAAATACACTATAGAGTTATACAGCACAGAAACAGACTGTTTGGTCCAACTTGTCCATGCCGACCAGACATCCCGATCTGACTTTGTCCCAATTGCCAGCATTTGACCCATATCCCTCTAAACCCTTGCTATTCCTACATTCATCCAGATGCCTTTTAAATGTTGTAACTGTACCCACCTCCACCGCTTCCTCTGGTAGCTCGTTCCATACACGCACCACTCTCTGCATGAAAGAGTTACCCCTCAGGTCCTTTAAAAATCTTTCTCACCTTAAACCTATGCCCTCTAGTTTTCAACTACCCCACCCTAGGGAAAAAGACCTTGGCTATTCACCCTATCCATGCTTCTCATGATTTTATAAAAAAACTCTACAAAGGTCACTCCTCAATCTCTGATGCTCCAAGGAAAAAATGGCTAAAAAGCCCTCTACAGCCTCTCCCTATAACTCAAACCCTCCAGTCCCAGCAATATCCTTTTAAATCTTTTCTGCACTCTCTCAAGTTTAACAAGATCCTTCCTATAGAAGCCTACACTTCTGTTTGTTTAACTCAAAAATAAACGACAAGAAATATTACAGGTTTGGAAATTAGTCTGTAGAAACACTGCTCTCAAGAATTACTAGAACAAATTTAAAACAGTAGAAATAACTTCAAAACATTACTAAGCCTAACACATCTAGTGTCAAGGACAGATGATTACAATGGAAGAGGCCATTTGGTAGTTCTCTTCTAGAAATATTTGTGATTGAGCATCAGACCAAGCTTCTCCTTTCGCACAAGGCACATACTCTGCTTGCAAAATTTGTCTAAAATCCAAGACCTGTAAAATTAACTGAGAATGACCAACTGGACCATTGAGAACCTAGCAATGAGCAGTGCTGTATTTCAGCAAGGTAACAGGACTCCCAGCCACCAAAATGTTGCACAATAGGTCAAAAATAAAGCATATTTTAGTGTTTTGACCAAGATAGAAGTGGTG